ATTCCCAGCAGTGCCTGAGTGAGGACGTGCTTTTTGTCAGCACTTCACTCAGTGGAACTCTTGCCTAATAAAAGCACTAGATGCAGGTATGCTAGTCACAATGCAGATTTTGTTCTGTGAGGCCTTCCTCTGTAGTATGAAGCCATGGGGCAGCTGTAGCGGTAGCAGTGCCAACCATGACATAGTGTCACCATCACTGCCCCTGTCTTGCCATGCACTGTGCAGTGCATGCACTGTGCAGCATGCAGGGGGCATGTGCAGTGGTCACCCTGCCTCACCTGGGGTTGTGCTTTCTGACAGCCTTCCCAAGGGAGCCTGGCAAAGTGGAGCTGCTGAATTCATGCCAGTTTGGAATTGCTTTTTAAAGTATGGATGAGGATGAAGAAATATTGCTTGTTAGCAGATGGCCCACTGGGTGGCTGAGTGGACTACCAAAGTTAATAGTCTGAAACATATTTTGTGCCCCACATAATTCATCTGAACTTAATGAATGCTACCAGTGGCTGGAACACATTAAATGTTAACTAGAATTAAATATTGTGATATACATAGAAATTGTGAGCAAGAGTACTGTGTCTCAAATTTCCTCTTCTTTAAAACATATTTTGAGAAATTTGTTCATTACAGTTTGTGTGTCCTAGCAGTTATGAAGCCATAAATACTTATTCATTTGCTTTCAGGCATTCCTGTACTGCTCCAGCAATGAGACCTAGACAGTGCACTACAGAGGTGTGCATTTGCAGGCTTTCTGCCCCCCTTTCCTCATGTTCAGGTTCCTCTGATAGTTTCTGCAAGACAGTAAGGAACAGGTTGCTTTAGAATTCCCTGAATTTGCTTACTAAAATTTCAGAGAATATGGACTTGTAACAGAGAAAAGCAGCCACCTTCTTTTCCTTCATTCCTTCCATTTTAACATTTTTTTTACAACATTAACTGTCCTTACTGTCTTCATCTTCAGTGAACACTGTAACAACTTCAAATGTTAAGCACTTTGCTCTTCTAAGTAAACAGTGTTTTAAAAGAACAGCTGCAGTCAAGAACAATCAGATTTCCTTCTAAACTTTGGTATATGAAAAATGCTGAATTTGAAATTTTTGAGAAAAACACTTTACCCTTGAGATACTGATTCCTGACATGTGAAACTGACTGTCATCTCTTTCCTACATGAAATAAATCTGTTTTTACAAGCTTCACGATGTCTTGTCTGATCTCCAATACTCAGCATGGCTTCCAGTTGTTAAGATCTACCGCAAGGAATCAACGTTTATAGCATATGTTCGGTGCAGCGCAGGACTTTTTCCACTAAATATTGCTTGCATGTTCAAATCCAGCTCATTCCCGAAGTCCCTTTTGCTATCTGAATGTCTCAGAATTATAAGACATTTGTATTCACCCCTTCCCAACTTCATCCCTTCACCTGCCTTTTCTTTTTTTTTTTACTTTTTCTCTTTCAGCATGATGTAAGTAGTTCAAGTAGATCTATGTCTCTAGTTTATAGACTCGACAGCTTGTATATCAGATGCTTATATGGCAGCACATTTTGCAACCTTATTTAGAAGGATGGTTTTCTGTCTGTCTTCTTGGTCATATTTAACTACTGAGTATCAAATGCCAGGTTTTTTTTTTTTCTTTCCAACAGAGTGTGTCATACTATCTGTCCCAGATTTGTCGGAGTTCTTAAGTGGAATTGCATAGAAATCAAAGCAAGTGAGAAACTGGCAGGACTTTACCTTTGAGAAAATCACAGCTTTGAAATGCTACCCTTCTGTCAGTCTGAAATCATCTTAATGTTTTCATTTCAAGAGCACACATTCTAGTTGCTTTATGTTTTTAGCCTTAAAGAACTGGACAGGCTTGGAGGCAACCTTATTTTTTTTTCTGTCACAGTATCATCTATTATTTTTGATAGTCATTAATGGCAGTAGTATATGCTAGATTGTTTTATGTCAAAGCTTTACTTTAGTACTAGATCATCTGAATATGATAATCTGTAGTAGATGCATGATGTTTTCAGTTAAAAAACAACAACAACAAAGCAAAAATAAAAAAACACAACAACTCATCAAGATGGAATTATAAAATTGCTCAGGTTGGAACAGACATTCAAGATCATCGAGTCCAACTGCAACATAACCATACTATCCTGACTCTAACAACCCACTGCTAAGTCATGTCCCTGAGCACCACTTCCAAACAGTGTTTAAACACATTCATGGTGACTCAACCTCCTCACTGGGGAGCCTATTCCAGTGCTTAACAACCCTTTCTATAAGGAAATTTTTCCTGATATCTAACCTAAACCTCCCCTGGTGCAACTTGAGGCTGTTTCCCTTTGTCTCACGTGTCACCAGTGTGAAGAGAATCATAGAATCAAGAATCATGGAATCACCAAGATTGGAAAAGTCCTACAAGACCATCCAGTCCAACTATAGGATAGCTCATGTTTATTTAGTTGAGGCATTTAGAAATCAAGAATCAAATCCATTTAAGTTTCAATTAAGTACATTGATTCATTTTCTCTAAATACCAGTATAGCATTTGAGGTAAGTGTGGCAAGGTTTATTCAAATTATAGTTTCTAAAATTACTGTTTTCACAATCATGTAGACTCATATCTGCCATTTCAATGGAGGTCATCTATATTCTAGCTATTCTTTTTGTCTTAGCAAGGATGAATGAGATCTATTCATGAGACCAGTTCTAGTCATATCTGTTCTGCCTTCAGCATCTCTGCTGAAGATTGTCAACAAGTGTTGTGATCTTTCTGTGGTTCTTTAAAGTTGACTTCTTTCAAGGCAGAACAGGAAAAAATATGAAGTAAGCAAAGCAAGACAAACCTAAAATTAGACACACCAGTTATAGTGTAATGTGAGTCAAAATTATTATTGTTAAAAAGTTTCCAATTTCCTGTTTCAAGTAAGCTATTAAAAATAATCTGGAACACGTGGAATTATTTTTTATCCCCTCTTGAGCTAGCATATTTTGCTCTGACCTTAAATTTTGGCATTCTCTTAAGCAGAAAAATGCTATCATGTTTCACGTTGTGTTTTTGTAAGAAGATAATCAGCACATACTGAATTTCTGGGTTTATTTTTTCACAATGCTTGTTGTTAATGAAGATCCTATAGAAATGTTTCATAGAAGTTAGAAATTTCATATGTTATTTAGCTATAGGTAACAATTACCTCAGTTTGAATGTGTATGTGTGTTCTAGGAGTGTTACCAAAAATTTGTGATGAAATGTTGTATCCATGACATAGACCTGACAAAACATTTCTTAAATTAACTGCATAGCAAGCTTGACCTACCCAGCTAACCAAGAGCTAAGTTAATGATCTGTTGCCCTGAGAGTTGCTCTTTCTATCTTCTTCATAAATCCCTCAAGCAAGATGTATTTGTGTGGACTGTTTAAAACTTTGAAATGATTCAGAAATACCTCCATCCATTTCCATGCTGCTTTTGGGCCTGAAAGATCTACTGAATTCCTATGCCAGATTTACAACCTGCAGTTTTAATTTGGGAAGATTTCATATAATAAGCTATAATTCCATTTCCAGCTAATTCCAGCAGTATTAAGAAAATAACGTTGATCCTTTGCAGGGTCAAAAAAAGCAGAAATGATGAAATAAGTGTCTGATTTTGTTTTTCAGATGTTTTATCTATTTGTCTAATTTGGTTGGAAATTATTGGAGCTAAGGATGTTTTGTAGTCTAAAAGCATTGTGACAAAAGCATCATTGAAATATTATGTTGTTAAAGGCTCTCAGTGTTGTCATTTAACAAAAAAAAAAAAAATATATGTATTTTGGAAAAAGGATACGCACCAAAACAAAAATAAACTCTCTGTATTGCAGAGCTTATCAAGACTTCTTGCTGAAACTGTAGTGTGCTTTCGTGCTTTATTACATATTTTTTATGAAATCAAGGCAGCTTTGACATGCAGTTTTAACCAGGAAGAATATTTAGGAATAATTCAAAATGAAGTATATATATTAGACAATGTGGCTCTGATGATAATTAAATGATAAGTAGTAATTTCCTTTAGATTTTTTGACGCAGTAAAGTGAGCTATCTCAAATTTTAGAGGCTCTTTATTTAGGCCCTGATCCTGCTGGAAATACTAAGCAGAGGTTCTATTTTTTTTTTGACAGTTCAGTGAATACACCAAACTGTATGTGGTCTGGAAACATTACGAACAGTAACTCTTTTACTGCCACTAAGTAAAGTACCCTCCAATGCAAGAAGGTAGTTAGCACATCTTTTTTGTTAGTGCTGAAATAAACTGCTGCTTTATGAAAGACCTGTCTTTATCCTGGTGTTTGAAGACAGTTGAACAACCTAATATTCAGTATTGGTCACAGACCAATCAATGATCTGTATACCGCACCATATGCTGTCTTGCTGATGTGAACAATAAGATTTTGGGGAAAATATTACTGCATCTACTTTCATAGTGAAAGTTTAGTAATCCAAAATGGAATTGTTAAGGATTGAAGAGGACTGCAAAGGCATCAGTCATTCTCTTCACTGCTTTTGTGTTTTGCTACCTGTATAAACAAAAGAAAAATTGAGTACTGTTGTGGATTACATGATGATGTTCTTTAATGTTGAAGTGCTCTACAACTTTGTGTCAAAACTGAATAGATTAGTTAAGAGATTATCTAGTCTGACTATAAGAAATTAGTCTAAGATGTCACTTTAACTGAATTAAAATAATTATTCTTTGAGAAGCAGTATTATAGTTCCATGAAGGCAAATTTGTCTTAAGATACCAACTGAAAATACTTATTGTCTGCTAATATTAAGGAAAGACTTGTGATAGGAAAGCACATGGAGTACAGATATTTTTTTTTTTTAAAGACATTTCTGTGTATCAGCTGCAGCATGCTGAAAAGGAGAGAAATTCAGGCAATTTTGAATGTTCGTATTAAGTTGTCCTGCTAGTGACTCAGGTTCCTGTTTTGATTATTTTCTTTTCTTTGACTCCTTTATTTTCTTTAAGGCCTTATTAGATTACAAGAGCTCATCAAGGCCCCATCACGATACAACCTGAGATTAAAAATCCGTCAGTTACCAGCTGACACAAAAGATGCAAAGCCACTGTTAAAGGAGATGAAAAGAGGAAAAGAATTCCACGTCATCTTTGACTGCAGCCATGAAATGGCAGCAGGCATCTTGAAACAGGTAATCCTCATTTTGCTTTAGATGAACTAATCTTCTTCATTCCTAATAAATGAAAGTAATATCCACTCTTAATGGCTTTTAACAACAGTTAAATTGTATGTTAGTTTTACTGAGGCCTAACTGAAAATCAGCCAAGGATTTCAGAGATAATTTTATTGGCACCTGTAATGATAGCTGCTTCCTTTTTTTTTTTTTTTTTCCTTAAGAAACAGCTTGATTTGTCTGTGTGGGGGGAGGAAAGGTATTTCATCAGTGCACTTCACTGGGAAAGGGTATGCCTTGGTCCTTGGTATTTTAGAGAATTATATATACACATATATAAAGCTCTTAAATTGTGTACTTTTAACCAGGTAGTAATATTTGAATAGTATGCTATTAAACTAGCACATTAGTGTAATCCTCTGGAAGGACAGAACTAATTGGTATTTTTAGAGCCATATTCTCCTCCTTTACTAATAAGACTGTGAAGGGACCTGACTACGTTCAGACAGATGCTTTCATAGTGTTTGCTCTGTTGTGTACAAGTAAGATGAGTAGGCAAGAGATAGCAGAATCCCAAATACGGTGTTTTTATTGCTGAAGCATATTCCAGTGCTGTCACCGAAGAGAAGATGGCAATATATGAAAGACTGTAAAAAAAGGAGCTTGTAAAAAGCTGACAGTAATCCTGAAGTGTGCAATAAATGCATGCCTTTGTGTATCTTCTTTAATGTAGTGAGCTAGCCCCAAAGACTTGGAATTCCTTAAAGACCATTTTTTCTTTAAGTTTTTAAATTGAGCTATGACTTGCAATTAGGTTAGGAAACATACCTGAAACAAAACAGTGTTCTACATTTCTAATGCACAGCTTTTAGTGACTGTAATTCACATTCATATTATGTATGCTAACATATTGTATCGTTTAGTTCAAAAACAGTAAATGCAATCTTTAAGATTTGAAAAAAGATCTCTTGTTAATGGTACCTCAGGGTGTGGCTGTGGGTACAATTAAAAGAGCTGGTAAACACACCTATGATCATTTTGCTTTATTTTGTGTTGATTAAGATTCTTTCATTAATTCTTAGTCATTTTAATATCTGTTGACAGTTCTGGTCTTCACTTAATGTAAGGCAGCATAATTAGTCCAACTGTTTAGCCCAAATTATTAAATGTATATTTAATTCCTCTAACATCTTAAAAATGCAGATGGAAAATATGTGTATGTATAGCAGTATAAAGCTGCAGTACTACAAATAACTCAGTGCACATTGTGTATACTGTACCACATATTTTTTACGTGAAAGGGAACTTTTATTTCAATGTATACAATATTGTGGGGAAAAAAAGTATGAACTGAGAGAAACGGGAAGAAAATGAAAATCATTCTATATTTAATCATGTTCCAAGATCTGAGAATGAGCATGCAACTTCTTTGAATCAATTTCTGACCTGTTTTATCAGGCTACTCTACCTATCCTGAGGAATATAAAAAGAGGTTACAGGAACAACTCTTCAATTTTTTTGCAATTTCTGTAATCTTTTAGTTTTCCATCCAGCTTCATTATTGCAATGTTTTAGAAGTGTCTAAAATTGGTAGTTCTGCTGAACATGACTTCTACTTTCAAATTTGAAAAAAAAAAATATGCTAATTTTCTATTTGATTATATCATTCCAAAAGCACTGCTTGATAAATATAATAAGAAATGTAGGCATTTATTTAGATAAAGATTAGTTTGGACATTTGAATTAACCACATTTATCTAATAATTGAGGGGTGAACCTGGGGAGACATGACAAGGGATTTTTTCTTGGGATGATGATTGTAAGGATTAAGAATGAAGCTGGGAGTAAAAGGTGGGAATAAAACCAGTTTGGTAATAAAGAAAAAAGAGTACCTTGCGAGATCAGTGAAATGACAATTACTGTTTTCTGGCCAATAATACGTTATAAAAAAAGAAATAAAAAACTCACCATTGATATGACATGATTCTGTCAAGGCAAATCTCAATGGTTACTACATTACCAGGCAACCAGGGAAAACAGACAGTATTTAAAATTTTATGGTAGAGATATTTAAAATATTCTTATGGAGATATTGCTTGAAAAGTGAAATCCCTGAGTGTAAACAGGTGTTTATATGACCTTATTAGAGAAAAAACAAAAATACTAACAGTGTTTGGTCTTGTAAGGTTTCTACTGGAGTTGGGATATTTCTCATAAGATAATGGTTTTCCTGTGTTTAACAGAATTCAAATTGCTGTTGGTAGACTGTACTACAGTTCTAAATACAGGCAAAGACATCCTTTGAAAAAGTGTTGTTACAATTTTTGCCAGTCTTGTCAAAGCTAAAAGCTCTGTTCTGCCACTGCTATTTCAAATTTATTTTAGCTTTTCACTTTTGTTTGAGAAAGAACATACAGACTAGTCATTTATTCCTTTCTCAGACAATGTCACAAGTAAAGAAGTTCACACAGCCTTCAAATATCTCTTTTGTATACAAATTCCACTATTATTACAATTGTATAATTATTGCCTTCAGCGTATTTAAGAAGGTTTAACTGGTAGAAAATTGGCAAAGAATTATCTTCATAATTCCTGGAAAGGAGGAAAATATTCTGTATTTGTGTAGCTTTTTTTTTTTTTTTTTTAAAGTGCTAAGGTGAGGTAAAAAAAGTAAAAAAATAAAATTACTGTCAAATACTAAAATGTTTACATAAATAGTACTAGACTGTAGAAGCTTTTGTGGAGAGTGAGAAGATAATGTGTATCCATAATGCTCTTCAGGTGTAGGAGCACATGATGCAGTGGTGAGATATTTCTAGCTTATTGCTTTAAAATAAATATTTACAGATTTTCTTTTTTACACAGTTAAGAAAAAAGAATGAACATTTTAAATTGCACAGAAACTATTTGATATTACATAGATAGCAAGACAGATGAAGATGTTGAGACACTATGTATCTGGCTAGTAAAAATTTACATAGAGAGTATTTTCTTTCATGGTTTGAAAAAATGTGTACACCTGAAGTACATGCTTGGGTCCTTGTTCTAAATGCATGCCACTAATCAAAATAGAAAAAAAAATCCTGTTAGGTTATTCTTTTTAAGGAGATGAGAGGGCTCAATAATGAATGAAAATATTGTCAATTGAGTTTTTGTGTAGCAAGTTAATGCAGCCATTAGTATGTAAAACTATAAGCCTCTTTCCAATTTACAGCTCTAAACAGTCTAATAATACTCTTTTATCAGATGATCTGGTTCATAAACTTCTTTAATAGTCAGTAATCTGCTCTAACTGCTAAGAAATGACTTGCTGGACCTAATTTTAGTACAATTCCAATCCAGTCTTCTTCTGCACCTTTTCATTTGCAATGTAAGTGTGTTAAAAGTTATTATGTTAACTTCAGAAACATTCACCTTTTGTTTATTTTTTTAAGGCTTTAGCTATGGGGATGATGACAGAATACTATCACTATATCTTTACCACACTGGTAAGTGGCTTATAACAACATATGGATGACATCTAGCAAAGTTGTTACTTTCCTTAATTACATTATCTGACAAATCAAGAAAAAAAGTCTGTAGAATGAAGTGTGAGTACATTATTTTTTCTCTGTTGAATTTTCTTTCTTTCAGTTAAAACTCATCGAGATGATTTAATTATTGTTCAATGGTGTGCCCTGGAAAGTGGCATTTCTGAGTAAATGGCTGACTCTTTAGTACTACAGTTTTAAACTTTTAAATAGAGTTAAGTAGATGATAGAGTTGTGTGTATTTCTCTGTTTTCCTTTTACAGTTCATTAATGATCTTACAACACAAGCCATTTCAAACATGAGGAAGAAGTGACTTGGTAAAACTGTACTTGAAATGACCTACGTTTAAAATTTCATTCATGTTTAAGTCCTAAGTAAAATGAATCCTTTGTGGTAGGATGGACAGTTCATCTCAGAATCACAAAATGAGTTTATCAGAAGTATTAATATGTAAATAGCTTTTTGAATAGAAAACAAAGTAAATTCTGAAGTTTATTAGAACTGTTAAGGCACTGCACAAATATTTCTCATTATCGAATGGCAAGTCGTGATATCATGGACTTGGGATGGTATGCAGTTGAATTTCCTTCATTAGTCTCAGATTTTCAGTCTATATTAAATTTCAATTTGATATTTTGATGAAAATTGCATCTTTGAGTTGTATGCTGTCCCTTAGCATTTTATTATTATTCTTAAAGTCATTTTTAAAAAATCAGATTTTCTGTCATTCCTGTTTCCTTATTATAATGTTTGCTTTTTTAGGAGCGATAAGGACTATATTCGTTTGGTGCTATCAGACAATAATTTAATGTGCACAGACAGATTATAGGTTCTGATTTTGCAGTGTAGCTTTGGAGCTTGCATCAGAAATTACATATTTTGATATATTAATTGCTTCTTACCTGACATGCTGAAAGTCCTGCCAAATAAATTTTCCAGCCACAGTGTTTATAGCAGTCTACTGTGTACTCTCCCATGATTGATTCAGGGTCTAATGCACTAGCTGATTAATGCACCAGCCTGTGTGTATTTGTAATATATGAATATAATATTGTTTTGTATATTCATTATATCCAGTGTAAACATGAGTGTGCTTGGGGTAAACCATTGCATCTGAGTTTTTTTTTCAAAACAAAAATTGAGAGAATGATGAAACATAGTTTTGGTCAGTCTTTCATTTGAAAAAAAAAATGTTTTATTTCTTTAAAAAGAGGGAATGACTTAGGTTATTTATAAATACAAAACATTTGACCCCTGTATATCTCAAGTGTCATATGTGGAAAATGGTATCATAATTACTGCTTCTAATTGAAAATACTGCCTGGCATCTGGGGTTGATTTTTAGAGAAATTAGTGCTAATATTAGAATATTTCATATTCTAACATATTTCTTAACATATATAATACTGAATTATGTTCTAGTTTTCCATAGTACAATATTATGTCTTCTTCAGTTCTAGTCAGTAAATAAATGTATTCAGGGAAATATTACAAATAAACTACAATTTCATGGAAATTTGAACTATATTAAACTGTAAGCAAAGTGCAAATTAAAAAGAAAATTAAAGACAAAGTTTAGATAGTTTCTATCTTCAGTGAAACTAGAAATATGTCGCTTGGCATTAATGTCTCATTATGTCACTTTAAAAATTTATTTAAAAGGAAACAGAAAAGCCAAGAAATAAGCCAAATGAAAATTCACTTAATATGCTTAGATAAACCAAATGAGTCACACATTTTGTTCATCAAATATTGAAATTTAATCAATTGGCAAATGTTGTAGAGAGAAATTCCTAATCAAGAATAGGTCTGTGTTTGCAAGCATGATTGGTAGATACGAAGAATGCTTTTGGTTAAATTTAAGCTGTGATCAAAAGCTGGAAAAGGTGCAGGCCATGTGCAGTCTCCCTTTTCCCTCCTCTCATTTAAATGTCTAAAGATAGACAACTTTCATAACAAGGGAAAATGTAGTAAGTTCTGTTTATCATGTAACAGTCTGCTTCTGGTAAGCTAAAAATAATTTTTAAAAAGTGCTTACTGATTAGTAATAATATTTATGTCTACTGGAGCTTTTCTAACTACTATTAGAGTAGGAATACTTAGGCTGCTCAGAAAGTAGTGCCTCCTATTTGTTTATGTGGAAACTACAACAGATACAAAGGATACACCAGCATGTGTGAATTCACAGATACAAAGCACTGTTTTTCAACATATTCACCACCATTTGCTATGCATTTTTGCTAGTGATGAACAAGAATTGTCTGAATGCTGCACTCATGAAAACCTGTATGACCATCCATGATGTGACTTGTCTTTCGCACCATTGCCTCCACTGCTAAAATATATCTCCCATCATGTCACTGTACTAACATCCACTGTTTGCTATCCATAAACATTCAGCAAGTATCGGTGTATGTCAGTGGATGCCTTTTTTTCAACATGGAGAATTTCAGTTAATCCTTTTGCCTTCTCATGTGCATTTCCATGCCAGACACTATTTTGTTAGACTTTCTCTGTGATTTCACCTGTTACACTCCAAAAAAATTTAATAGCATGTTGGTGTGAAAGTTCAGCTTCTATTGCTATACCACCAAAATCTGCCTCTGACATTGTGGGCCAAAAAAAAAAAATAAAATAAAATAAGGGGAAATGGCCAGAAGCTGGAGCATAGGAAGTTCCGCACCAATGTGCGCAAGAACTTCTTTACAGTGAGGGTGACGGAGCACTGGAACAGGCTGCCCAGGGAGGTTGTGGAGTCTCCTTCTCTGGAGATATTCAAGACCCGCCTGGACGCCTACCTGTGCGACCTGGTGTAGGGATCCTGCTTTGGCAGGGGGGTTGGACTTGATGATCTCTGGAGGTCCCTTCCAACCCCTACAGTTCTGTGATTCTGTGATTCTGTAATCATTAATCATAATTGAAATTGTTCTTCTTCTGTGAACTGGACTGCTGGTTGGCTGAGTCATTTGAAATGTGCAGTCCTCCAAATAAACAGAACATATTTTCTTGTATATACAGCAACTGTAGTATTGCATCTCATTCTCAAAGTTAAAAAAGCAGTGTATCAAATTATTTATGTTTATTTTTTTCAGGACCTGTTTGCCTTAGATGTGGAACCATATCGGTATAGTGGAGTTAATATGACAGGATTCAGAATTTTAAACACAGAAAACAGCCAAGTGTCATCTATCATTGAAAAGTGGTCTATGGAGCGATTGCAAGCACCTCCTAAACCTGATTCGGGTTTGCTGGATGGATTTATGACGGTATGAATATCAGTGTTTAGTTATTCTTTTTGTATATGCTTGTGAATATGTACCCCATCACATTTTTTAATTTCTCTGACTAAATTTTTTTGAGGCATGGGGCCAAATATTATTGTGATTATTATTTAGGCAACAACTGGTTATTTTATTTTATTATTCCACAGGCTGAAAACGTATTATTGGTGAAAATAATTACATATTATCGGTATAGCATCATGTCAAATCCCAGTCAAAATGAAGCTAAATCACATTGTCTCTTTCTTTAGATTTTCTCTTATTCATTTAGGTAGCTCTTTAATAATGCTTTTTATTTCATTTCTGCATGATTCTTTTTTAAAACATAATTTATGAAAATTACAAAGAATTTTGTATTTCTGGTTCCTATGCACTGACTTAAAAAATATGTTTTTATATTTTTATGTTTTCTTTCATTGCTGTTGTTCTCTAGTCTCTGTTCAGTTCCCAAAAATGAAAATCACTTTCATTCAGATAAACTTTCACTGCTGAGTTTTCAGTAACTCTCTACCTTTATTTATTTGTTGGAACTAAATCTAATATGGTCCTAAAAGGAATGGATTTATTTGAAACGTATCCTACATTAGAACTACTTTAATTTTCAAATTAATTGGAATAACTCGATTTGTGATTTGTAACATCTTTGCTGACAGAATTCTACTGCTTTTTAGAATTTTAGAACACATTTAATATTCCATTTGAAAAAAAAACAAACCATTCTGTTTCTTAAAGATCGATATGTTAGTTATATAGTAACTGTATAGATTGTGTTATGTAAGCCATGTAACAGAAGTAATCTTGTATAGATAAGATTTAAAGATGTTATAGATATTAAATACTAAATGAAAATATGTATTTTTATAAGTTAATTTTCTATTTGTCTTGTTTTTAGAAAATTATCCTGTTTAAAGAATTTTTCATCTATTTTTCTTTATATGTAGTATTTAATATAAAAACTGGAAATATTTTAAGATTAATCTATGTAAGAGTTTAATTATGCTGCACTTTTAAAGTGTTATATTATGGAATCTGTTAAGATTAATTGTTCATTTCTCTAAGTAATTCCAAATAAGCAAGTTTGTCCCCCCAAATTTTTGAAATGATTTGAAGGCAGTTTTGTGCTTTCTTGTTTGCATTAATACTTTAATTCCTTGATTTTTATCTTTTTCAAAGTAAAAATTGTAGGAATTCATCTTACTCATTGAAGTTGCATATTTTAGGCATTGATCAAAGATTTAATTGTCCTCAAACATTGTAATGGTTACCAAGATCAATAGCAGCAGTTACTATCAAAATACTAGGCTGTGATCAATAAAATCACAGAGTGATAAAAACTGGAATAGAGTTCCAGGAGCCATTCTCATGGTTTTGTTTTTTGTGGTGCTGTAAAGAAAGTGACATTCTTAGAAAAGATTGTGTTGTGACACAGAAGTTTATTATTGCTAGCATGTTACTGCATGAGACTGTACATTAGAGCAATACTTTCTCTCAGGATAGAAGAAGATGAAGAAATGCATAAAAAACACATGGGATTCTTTTCTTGACCCTTAAGAGCCCTCTTTGTACTTCTGAATGATTTCTGTAGTCACCACAAGAACCAAGCATTCATACTAATTGTGACAAATATTTTATGGAGATTGTTTATGGAGGTGAAGCATCAAAATGTAATTTGATCACATTTAGTTTTTTAGTTGGTTACATTAGTTTTAGATACTTGAGATATGCAAATAGAATTTAAAGCATTTTTAAAGGCAAAGAATTTTGACGAGTTTTAAGGGCTTAAAAAGATGTTATGATCTAGCTCTTAGAAGCAGAAAAGGCATAAACAAATGAATTTTAAAAGGAATAGTTTGGGAAGGCATAAAATAAATGTATGTCATGATCTCTTTGCACAATGTTCTTTCTGTACTCAGTGGAATAAACTCATTTTATTGACTGTCAATAGCTGTTAGGCTAGACAAATTCAACTTTCATTTCACTGTAGTTAATGTGTATTTTAATTCAGAAATACACCGAGGAATTAAAGATTCTGCACAGGTATTGATTGCTGCTAAGGAATACTCTATTAAAGTCATACAGGCTGACCTGGAAAAGTTGTTTTATTTTCATTGGTTGCTAATGGTGGCAGTTTATCCAGAAAAACAGTATCAAAATTTTGCTTAATAGGAATGGCTTTAGTTTGAGAAGAAAAAAAAAAGAAAAAAAGAAAAAAAAGAAAAAAAAAAAGGCCTTTAACACCTGGATGTGTTTTAACACCTGAAAGTAGAGAATTTGCCAAATAAAAAACTAAGGTATATATTTCTCAGAGCAGAAACCTCAAGCAAATGTGATTGGTTTCAAGTGGTATTAAAACCAGGTACTTTTGGATCACAGTATTTATATGATCAGTTGGTATTTGAGTTATGTTCTTCTTCCTCCAAGATTTGCACCATATGCAGATCAGCTTAGACATCATGCCAGAGTTAGAACTGTCAATTTAACTCTGACATTTAATTAAATTTAATATTTTATTTTTAATAATTCATAGATTTCCCACTCTTAAAGTTTACTGGCTTAAAGCTATTTTCTATAGGCATATTTAACTCTATCATTAGTGTACCAACATCATATCATCATATTTTGCTTGTATAATTATTCATAGTAATAGAAAAATAGAAAAAATTATCAGTAATGAACAGTGAATATTTTTGTGAAGTCATGTTATAATATGTACTGTTTTAACGTGAAGATATACTGTAGAACAGAGGAACAAAAAACTTTACTTTGGTATACCTGACTTACTATTGTGTCTGTCCAAGCTGAACATACTTAGAAGGAAAAACAAACACAATAAAACAATATAAGTGTGTTCCTACACCTATATATGATAGTCATCATTCAAGCCAAGCATACTATGAATAAAGGATATAAATTCAGAATTCTACTGTGCCGCTATTAATCTCCCACAATGTTTGATGCCTCAAATCAGAACTTAGCATTCATAATTAAGATGACCTAACAAGTTCTGCTGCTTAATTAACATGACATTTTCATTACTAATTGCTATTGTAGTCATCTGATTTAGCTATCTTCTTTCATCTTAGGTAGGAATGAGTGTCCTTTATTCTAATTTGATTATTAATCTATGTTTTAATGTTCACTTTAGTAGCTGTATATGGCAGGTGCAGGGAAGCACTGTCATACTTGAACATACCATAGCTAATATCAACATTGGGTTTCCTCAGACAAATAATATTTTGGTTCTGATACATCTTGTAGGCTGCTGTGCAGAATGGAGTACTGCGCTCCATTATTATTTCTCTTGTGTGGTTATATGTTTGTTTTTTGTATTTTTTAAAATAATAATTATTCCTTCTTACCTTTCTGGTCATAATGTGTTTTTCAAGCTTAGTTCCTCTCCAGCATGGAATGTATTTCTCAGCATATGAAAGACAATTTTAGTAGAAATTGAGAATGCTGGTAAAAACTGAGTGCAAAAATATAGAGCATTTTTACATACCAAGGATGGACTCACAGTATATTTCTGTGTATGAAAATTTAATCTAATTTAAAAAACAACCTCATGATTTGAAATTTTTTAGAGCTGATGTGTAGCCTTCCAAGGAAGGCTTTTATTTTGAAAAGAAAATCAAGAAAATTTTCTTGATCAAAAGAATAGGCAGGGCATTCCCTCCAAAGAACTGTCTAGGATATTCACTGTAAACTAATACTTGAGCATGATGCAATAAAGATGCTGAAATGATAATTGCTTTGGAATTTTAAGTGATTTTTAAATGATTTTAAATGATTAAGATAATGCAGTAGAAAAAAATGTAGACAATAAAATAAGAGATTAATAGAATGAGAGAAGACTTTGCAGTCATGGCACTTGTAGCTTAGGAGTAGTCAGAAAATAGAATTTAAAAAAGTAGTCCAGTTTTGTGCATAATGAAACCAAGGACTACTGAAGTTTTAAATGAAAATAGGAAGTGGAAGTAGCTCCCACATCAGACAGTTGGACAGTAATAATACTGAGAGTACCCTTCTGCTATTGAAGGACAAGTATGTATTTGCCAGGTTCAGTGTCCTACTGAAAAAAGCATTTTATACAACTGACTTGCAGCTGTGTGTCTCTGATTCATTTTGATTGAAGTTAGGTGAGAAGAGCAATCTAAGAAGGAGCACGAGTAAAATAATACTGTGGAAGTTAAGGAAAAGATTTTAACCAGGAGATGCTAAAACTGAGCTGTTAATCAATAAATCAGGGAGATGCAAAAATGGAAATGTACTCTATTAGTAATACTAGTATTTCATATAACTAGTTTCTTTTTTTTTAATCTAATTTTGTCCTCTAACTCTCCCATTTTTTGTTGTTTTGTTTTCCTACAAAATTATTTGGTTACCTTTCTCCCAGATAAAGCAAAATTTTATGATGCATGCAGTATTTTCCTTTAGCATGTTTCTGAAGTTAAATGGTCAAATGACTTTCTTCATTTGGCCTAATTCCTCCTTCACATCAGGATATTTCATAACTGTACAAAGTCATTTAAAAAGAAACATTACACTAGATATGAATTCTACACTCTGAAGAAGAAAGTTCTATTAAACTTTTGTTTTCTTTTTCTTTATAGTTACTTGGAGGTGAAAAATAGATTCACTGCATGTGCAACATTTTACTTGTTGAATTAGTGTTTTAATGAAGTTTAGGTGTTTACCTACACATATTAACAGATTATGCAGCTGCTTTTCTTCCTGCTAATTCCCTGGAGTATGTTTTGATTTCTTTAGAATAATAAATGATTTCATGTTTGTTTGTGTATGTGATTTAATATGGTAATCTCCTTAATTTAAGGATGAAGTTGTTTTTTATGGGATATGAAGAGGACTTTCAATTTGGTGAATAACTTGTTACAAATTAATCATTTAATTTTTTTAACAGCAGGAGGATATTTGTGAAACTGCAATTTTTAATCTGTACATAACAAGTGAGAGGAAGTTATATCTGA